CCTCGCGGCTGGCCAAACTAATGCGGGTGGAGGGGAAACCCACCCCGTCCACCCACGGCCACACTCAGGGCGGCATGAGGCGGTGATAGGCGCGCCTCCGCCGCCCGGTTCGCCGGCGGCGGATCGAGTCCGAGTGGAGGTCGTCCTCCCGGGCCTTCTCCGCCGCCTCCTTCAGCGAGATTACTTCCTCGCAAGAAGGTTGCGACCGCGGTAAAACAACTGTCGCTACCGGCCATGGAGCGTACTACGGCCGGTAGCGAGAGATCCACTCCGACACTCCGATGACTGCAGTGAGGGCCCGGCGCTGCGTCGCCCATGCGGGGCAGACCGCTAGCGTGTGCTGGGCCGAGTCCTCACTGCAGTCGCAGTGGTGGCTGGCGGGACTCAGTTCCCTCCTAGCGACCGAGTGCAGGTACTTTCCGAAGCAACCGTGCCCGGAAAGCACCTGCGTCAGCCGGAAGGAAAGGGTCCCGTGCTGCCGCCCTGCCCACTCGGCGATGACCGGCTGGAGAGCCTCCACGGCGGCGAAGCCAGCGCGTGGAGTCTCCAGCCGGAACGACCAACGAGCCATCGTGGCTCGGCGAGCGGCTTCGCGCCACTCGCGCACATCCTCGGGCGGAGGGCGAAATCCGCTCTCCGCCCGGGAGTCAGCCACTCGCCGATAAACTTCGGCGAGCACTTCCGCCTCCAAATCCGCCTCCGCCTCCGTCGAAACGGTGCGGTAACCGCGTATGGCTCTGACCGCCATTACCCTCTGAGGGCGCCAGAGGCGTGCCCTATTCTGGGTGGTCAGAGCCGCCGCCCACACCGGTGCACCGTACAGTGCCATTGACAGGACAACCCCCGTGTACAGCCGTCTTGTCGCGACGCTGGGTCCACCCAAATTGGGCAAAAGTCGCCCTAGGGCAGACGCAACGCCGACCAGCTTTGGAGCAAGCTGTCGGAAGTGCTCGTCGAAGAGCCACCTCCCGTCGAGGATCAGGCCCAGATATTTCATCTGGGCCCGAACCGGTACGAGGACCGAGTTGACCACGATTGAGGCGCCAGGGGGTGGACCACGACGGGGCCCATGAAATAACAGGGCCTCCGTCTTATCTAAGCCCAGCGCCTCAATGCGCCCGACCACCAGGGAGACTCCCCTTGTGGCCAGGCGCGCCGCCTCTTGGAAGTTTGCCCCCCCGGGCTGTCACCAGGGTATCGTCTGCGTAACAGATTACACCCAGCCCGGGGGGGAAATCGGCGCGAAGGGCCCAGTCGTACCCTATGTTCCACAAGAGGGGTCCAAGAACAGACCCCTGTGGAACACCGCACGACATGGGCCGACACCTCAAATTACCCTCTCGGTCCTCGTACACGACGGTACGCTCCTCTAAATAGTCTGCCACCTCAGCCGCCTCAGGTACTTTGGCACCCCATGATAGTGGAGTGCTTCCCTTATGCAGGTGAATGGCAGACTATTGAATGCGTTGACGATGTCTAATGACACCGCCAACAGCACGCCGCCACAGCTAATAACAGTCACCCTGACTTAAGGAATGAGAATTAGAAAACAAAAAGTATAAATGGCAAAAGATGTGGTCAAGTTTTCCTATTTCAATGGTCAAGTTTTCGGAAACACGTACCTATGGAACGTGTTGTCAGCTTTAATACCCATAGAGATTGGTAGATACGGATAAAAGTTATTAAAAAAAAATCATAGACGCCAACTCTGCACTATGGTTATGAATGTCTACATTTAGGGATTTTCCGATACCACCTAAGTATCGATACTTACTCATTTCGATAATACTCAAATCTTTTTTCGATACTACACAAATAAGTACTCCTCAAGTATCGATACTTACTGATATCGATACTTTTTGGAACTTTTATTTTATTATTTTGAGGGTGCTATCAATGAACGTTGAAGGATAATAATTTAAACAAAATTGAGACGAAAAAAACTATTTATTTATTATAAATGTTTATTAGGCTTATTATAATTTAAACAAAAAACTTTTCAGCATTAAGATTGCCCAAAAACAGTAACTGTTCAAGGTATTTAGAAGACAATCTGTTTCTTGTTTGTGTCATTGTTGCACCGGCTTTGGAAAAAAGGCACTCGCTAGGAACTGATGTTGCAACAACAATTAAATATTGCTGTGCATACTTGTACAGACAAGGAAACACCAACTTCATGTCATCCCATTCTGCAAATGGGTTGCTTTTAAGAGAAACTACTGGATTTGATAAATAAAGAGAAACTTCATCTCCCTGATGAGATTTTTTTTTCTTCTTGTGCCCATGTGCTAACTCTTTATGATGTTTCCAAAAATCGTATTCAGGTGGTGCAGTAGATGAGACATCATCTTCTGACTCACTTGGGCTACTTAGTTGTCCGACAACCATGGTTCTAAGTTTTTGAATAGCTCTTCCGCATGCAGAGGGGTCTTGGAAATGCAGATTTTTAAACCTTGGGTCTAGAATTGTTGCAATGGCTGCATGATCGTTTAATTCAATCATCCCATACCTCCTTTTCAGCTCTCTCAATAAAACATCCTTACATTCTTTAACGATAGCGGAGTTTGGAGTGATACTATTCAGTTCTGTAGTTAAGCAATTAAGCATTGGTATAATTTTGGAGATTGTTACATACTTTTGGCCCGATGATTCTCTTGTTACATATTCAAAAGGCTTTAATACAGTTGTAAGCTCATTCAAGGTTTCCATTTCCACTGCACTTGGCAAATTTGGAGCCACTACACTCTCAATTACAATTTCTGATATTACTATTCTTAACTTTAGAAATCGCTCTAACATAAAAAAAGTTGAGTTCCACCTAGTTCTTACATCTGCAATAAGTTTTAAAACTGATCCTGCCGAAACATTATTACGCATTTGGATTTTTCGTAGCTTATCCGACTGCACAACACTATTTTTTATCCAATTAACAATTTCTCGTACTTTTATAACAGCTGATTTAACACTGGGCAACTTTAGTGCCTCTTCAACTACAAGGTTAATAGTATGGGCAAAACACGGTAAATGTTTTTTTTCGCCTAAAGACATTCGTATGGCAGCCAACATTGAACTGGCATTATCTGATACAGCAGCACGAATTTTGGTAAGTGGAATATTCCATTTTTTCAAAATATCCAGCAGGTTTTCCGATATGTATTCAGCTGTATGTCGCTCTCTTAATGCACGAGTTGCAAGATAATACATACACATTTGACCATTTTCTACAAAATGTATGGTGACGCCCATGAATCCTACTTCATTCATTGTCTCTGTCCATATGTCCAGCGTTAAACAGAAATTGTCTATCTTGGATAATTTGGACTTACAAATAGTCATACAAGCTTCGTACTTTTCGGTAGTCATTTTCTTTAAATACTTTGCGCCAGGAACTTTAAAAGTAGGCTTCAGTTCTTTTACAAGTCGTAAAAAGCCTTCACCTTCAACTATATTAAATGGACGCATATCTTGACAGATAAAAAATATCAATGCTTGAACAATTCTGTTATACTTCGTACCACCAGCTAAAAATAAAACTCAATTTTAATACATGTAATATTAAATAAAATATTTATATTTTTTTCTTTAACACTAATACTATATGTATTAATATTATTTTGCTAATATTTAATTAAATATCTATTTATTTACCTTTATTAGATGAAATTCGTTCAAACGCATTCTTTATTGAATTGCTCAGACATAGCTCCCTTGCAGTCTCCGAGTCCATACTTGTTAATGTGGTTACACTAGAGCAATCATCACGATCTTCTGAAATTTTCGATGTTGATGCTTGGGGTTGATCATCTTCCATTAAATGCCTTGAGTTGGCCAACACTATTGTATTTTTTGAACTGAAACATAATAACAAAAATTAACACTTGATAGATCGATAATCTTCAAAGTATCGATAATACCAACTCCAACACTACCGCCATTTAACAACACTATTACACTAACAAAAACAAACACATAACCTTAAATTGTTTAAATCGTATTTATACAAAGGAAATATCTCATCACCGGTCATCAATTATTATTCATATATTATTAATATATATAGACAAGACAATCACAGTACCACTGCTGCAAAACTATTTTTTATACAAATAAAATAGGTAGGAGTAGGTAGGATTTTTTATTTAACATCTTAGGAAAGCAATCGCAAAAAAAAAGAAAAGTTTAGAATCCTACCTTTCGTTGGACTTATTATTTTCTTTTTTCTGTAATTTGCCTTTGTCCACAGAAATTCCATGAGTTTTAGAATGCTTGAATAAATTCGACGTATTCCCACAATACTTCACAGACTTAAAACACTGTTTACATTTTGCAATTGTTTCGTTTGTTTTGGTAAAATGTGTCCATATTATAGATTTTGGTGGTGCCATGATAACATTGGAATAAACCGATGAATTTGATGATTACAATTAATAAAATTACTTGTAAGCAATCACTTAACACTTTCACAATGGCGGAATGGCGAGATGATTTGCGAGCGGGTGCGGGTGTTTTCTTCTCTCGCTTTCGGCTCGGGCGGGCTCGGCTGAAGTCGGACGAATTCGGCTAGCCCAGCGCGAGACAACGCGTCACTCACGCCGCCACGCGACGAATACCGGTAACTCGGTAACCTGATTAGCTGACTGTTTTTGCCTCGTTTTTGCTCTCTTAGTTCTGTATGATGCGTTCTCGGTTTTTTTTATTGTATTCGGTTGTTTTGCTGATTCGATTCGATACCAAGTATTTTTGTTTCGATACCGATTATGTATCGCAAAATTGATTCGATACAATAAATACTTGGTATCGAATCAAAAGTATCGAGTACCTACTCGTATTTATTAGTATCGGAATATCCCTATCTACATTAACTTTTGGCGACAAATATCTTGTCAAAAGTTACGTTTTTTTTGGAAACTCATGAAAATGTACATATTTATCCAATAAGAACGTGTTTAAAATCAATGTTTTTCAGTTTTGTGTCTTTATAAACTTGATTTCTTAGTAAAATGGAGTCAGACTCAGCTTTACACGCTGATGCGCCTGATGGCGCGGAAGTGTTGCCTTTGGAAGAGAATGAGGCTGTTGATACCGCTGAAACCGGTGAAAACAATGTTTCAAGTCAGGACGACGTCGAAGAAGCAGCACCCGCTGAACCATCAGGTAATTAATGAACTCATAGTTAATAATTTATTGATGGAATGAAACGAGACAAATCATGCTTTATATTCGAAATCCTTGTAATTTGCATTAAATTCGATGTTTTGCAATTCGTTTTCATTAGTAAAATTTACTATTTAAATGTAGCCACAAATGGGGGTCCTACGAGTAGCAGCGATTCCATGGACGCAGATGCCTCTGTTCAGCAGGCAGAGGAAGAAAATGCTGCTGAAGAAGGTAATTTGGAGAAATTTCATATTTTGAATTTAAATCGTATATTTGTTCACAATCAATATCTACTGTTTCCATATTTTGTATTTTGATCTGTAACCTTCACAGGACCATAATTCATATTAGGCTGATAAACATCATCATCTCTCTGCCCTTTTACCAATGTTATATTTTTAAATGGCCACTAACTTACTTGAAGCCATTAGTTTTTGTGATGCCAAGCATTTACAGACACATATAATTAGACATGTATCAGAATCTTTATTTGGGTTTGAATTTTTTTTAAATTATGGATAGCAGAATTGTAAGGCAATAATAGCTAGATCTGCTATTGTCTTTGCTGTCTTTTGTATAAATCATCAAGACGGTAGATTAGGTAACTGGTTTTTTATGTTAACCCTAGAACCCTACATAGGGTGCTGGGGGCCTCAGATCAATTTGTTTTTTAAATACCTCAGCTAGTTTATTACTCACAAATTCACCCATCCAAGTATTTTTTTTGGTGTTGATTGCTCGATTCGTAAGCGCCCCGACGATTGCCACCTCGTGTGATCACTTGTACAAGCACTCTGGAGTATGTGTGCACCCCAGTATAGGAAAATCCATCCAAAAAAAAGACTAAAACTGCCCTATGCGTTCACTTTATGGGCTAGTGAATGCTGTCAAAGTTTATTCTTAGGCTCTTCAAGCAAAACATAAGATTACGGTGTACATTTTTGAAAAAAATAGGCTTACAGCTCATTCTTGAAGAATCCTTTTTAGTGGTTCTAAAACAAGCCTGGGAGCAGTGTTCTTTAGCTTTGGGCACAAGGACGGTATGGCTTTTGTCCAAGTTCCAAGGACATAAAAACTAGGACAAATGCCAAAGGTCTAAAATACCTATTTGTTTAGAGCAGGAAATAAAAAATTGTACAGTGTTCAAACTAAAACTTATTTCATGTACTAAAGCTGAATTGTAATCTCAAGTTCCTAATTATTTATAAAAAAACATATTTTCATTAATTTTTTTTAATTTAAGAATCAAGAGACATTTTAGTGTGGCGTACTCCAGAACCCTAGAGTAGGAAAATTATGTGGGCTAGATAGTGTAGGGTTCTAGGGTCTAAGGTAGGGTATGGCTACATATCACAAATGTTATACTTAATTTGTACTTCACTGAAGTCATTATTTGAGTAAAAACAGTTCCATATGTCATATAATAAATAAACCTTTACGAGTGATGAGTGGAGATAAGTCTGTATGATACATTGTTTAGTGGTAGAAATAAACACCGCTAATCTTTTATTGTCTATGAAGGGAACTATATTGATGACACTTCCTCAATATTTTTCACTTAGTGCCATGGCTTTGAACTGAAATCATAAGTAAGTCCTGAAATGAGTCCTTGTTGTATTCATCCAGTACAATATTTATCACTTTCATAGCAAACCCTGAGGCAGAAGAGCAAATGGATTTAGACGACACAACAACTGGCACTGTTGCTGATGCATCTGCATATATTGGAGACAACTGCTTGTCTACACCGGTGAGGATAAGCTAGATAAAAGTTCTTTGAAGTAGATTCAAAGATCTTAATTCAATTAATTTGAACTTTTTAACTATTGCGCTCCATAAAAAATAATTATGTTTATGAGAATTAGCCTGTTTACAAAATGTATTAATTAAGTACAAACCTTAGAAATGCCTGGCTGTTGTCACAGGCTGGCAAAGTTATGTACTTAATACTTATGAGTGTATTAATTCCAATAAACATAATTACAAATATAATTTGAAAGTTGTTGTTCAGTAAGTAGTTGTCTGCAATTAAATTATTAGTTTTGAAATTAATAATTATTTTATAACAGAATAGTTTTAAAGTTATTTTACAATCATCTAATATTAGGATACTGAGAGCCTACTAGAGCCTATGGTAAAGGAGGAGTCTGGAACTGATGAAGCTGAAGGTTTAGCTGGTACTGCAGAGGAGTCACCTGACCAGTCCATAAGTTCAGCTATGCCTACTGATAGTGGTGTTGGTGATGATCCTACTGATGGAGCACCTTTAGTACAAGATGGTAAATAGCTTCAATTTTAGTTTTATTTTTTTAATAATAGTTGTATGTATAGCCGTTTGTTTGACAAATATCTAATTTTTACTTAACAGGATTAACATCTTGTTTAACTTCTCAGAAAACTTTTCGTTTTTTTTTATTTATTGACTAAAAACAAGCTTTACATACATACATTTACATACATATACTATGGTTAGTTATACTATGTCACACAAACCATCGTGGGTTTATCCATGATATATTAAAACACTTACATCTTAGTGCTACATACACTTACAAAAAAAAATTAGATAATTTTATTTAATGTGGTAAATGTATTACAGCTGTACGCACCTCATACAGTTGACATATAGTTTTTCATTACACATTTGGAATTTCTTTCATTGATAGTTTGTGTATTTTAAATAGTTTTTGACAGTATATAATTAAAGATTATGCCCTTTAGATGAATCAAGTACAATGGATGAAGACATGGGTGGTGGTGAAGGTGTTGCAAGTAGTGATGATGTCAATGATATCAGCAGTGCAGCTCAAGAGGTCCTTAGCACTGGGATTAGGTATGTATTCATATCTATATTGGTTATAGTGGTATATTTCAATTATGGAAATTGGTTATTTTTAATAAATTTTATAAAGAACATAAAATTTGCTGTATGAGGAACATAAAATATAAATATCCAAACTTATCATCACTAATATATTCATGAATTCAAAATGTTCCCTGTATCATTCTAATACTGCTTTTTTTCGATTTTATCTCTCTCTCTCTCTCTCTCTCTCTCTCTCTCTCTCTCTCTCTCTCTCTCTCTCTCTCTCTCTCTCTCTCTCTCTCTCTCTCTCTCTCTCTCTCTCTCTCTCTCTCTCTCTCTCTCTCTCTCTCTCTCTCTCTCTCTCTCCCTCCCCCCATCTCCCCTCTTCCTCTCTTTTTTCTCTCTCCCTCTCCCTTTTTCTCTCCTCTCTATTCCTGTAGTAAATTATTAAGTGATGATTCTGTGATATTCTTTCTAGTTCAAGTACGGCAGAAGGTGGAGCCGACATTTCAAGTAGTGGCCAATCTGAGACTCCTCTTATATCTTCAACAGCTAATGGTCCAGCAGTATTACACTCCTTTTCTATGCCACAAGAGCAACAGCCAAATGAGTTAGTATTTTCAGAAATATATTTTTTCTCAATCTCAAGTATTTAAAATGAATTATTATAAATATGCAATGGTATCTAGTACTTAATGCATGGGATTTAGCAGCTATACTATCAACAAACTTGTGATTGTTGTGTGTAGTTAAGTGAGTTCAAGAGGTAACTAAATAAAAATTAGTATCCGTTTTGCGTTTACTATTAATTATGTTATTTGTACACTACTATAACTGCAATTATTTGTCCTTAATATGCATAAAGACAAGTGATTTTTATATCTACTACCTACACTCTATTCTCGAAAAATAAGTCATACATTGAATGAGTACTACTTTTGAGTTTTTTAAATATTATATTTATAATCTCTCTGTCATTTAGATTTAGCGATGCTGATACATCAGAGATGGAGGGTGCAGCAGATACAATGCCAATTGTTAGTGAATCAATGCCTTTACTAGCTATGAATGCAAACGGTTCTGCATTACTTTCTCCTACTTTGATGCCAGGTAAAATAAAAAATGATGTATATATGTTAAGTCAAGTAAAAATTTAATAATAACTTTGATAATTTTTTGGTGTGGTAAAGGTTTGACAACGTTTTTAATTTTTTTGTGTAAATAAGTACAAAATATGTATGAATAAAAAAACTTTACCTTATGGTGCAAAGTTTTTGACACCGATATGTTGTTTTGGAGACTGATATGTTGAAATAAAATCAAGGTTTTTTGTAATAAACATAATGACAAAAAATGAACGTAAACTGATGTGGTCGGTGGTGGTCGTGCAGCAGACCTGGCGCCCCTGGCGGGGGAGGAAAGCGGCGCGGGCGTGTCGTCGTCCGTGGCGGCCAGGGGCGCGCCACCGGCGCCGGGTGGCGGCGCGGAGGGCGAGGGTGCCGTGAGCAGCTCGGTGGCCGCCCCCAACGGCGCGCCGCCGCTGCCGCCCGCGGACGCCGCGCACGCGCTCGCTACGCTGGCAAGTGCCGCGCTGCACCACCAGCACGAACAGGTTAGCTGGCTTCCCCCGCCCCCTCCCCGATTAGCTTAATTTCATCTCCATTCATTTACAACAAGAAACTGCATAAAAAATTGCTAATCGATCCGATCGATCCGCAGTATTCGAGGTTTACCATAGATTTCCTCTTAGCTTTTAGTCTTTTATCATTATGTAGGTATATATTATTTGAGATCCTTTGTACTCGTATTAAACGACCATCGATTCATGATCGATTGAAATACAGAGTCACGATCACCTTATTACAGACACGTGAGTTGAAATCTGGATGAAATTGGGTTTAAGTGTAATATTTATTTAATTTTGTTCTCTTTTAAGATACTTCTAATTTAACAGGGACTAACCCAGCACATCTTTAGGAAAGCCTCTCCTTGAAAAGAAGGTTTTGGCTTAGTCAAGTTTGCCTTCTTTTTGCAGTGCTGTTGTACCGTGTAGTTAGCTCCATTAGTCGGCTCTGATGATAATAACTAGCTACTACTTTGTAGACATATCAGGCATAAAAATGCATTGGTATTTTATAGGTAGGGTACCTATTGCTCTAGTATTGACTAGAGCAATAGGTACCCTACCTATATCCAGAACAAACTACTGTTTTGGTAGGTGCTCGAGTTTGTTTTATTAAAATAAAATTCTCCAGATTTTATATTTTAACAATTTACCACCTGATTTACTAATTTTCTACCTGATTCCTCACAAAAAATCAATTTTAAGCAATTCTTTCGTTCGCTTTTCACTAAGTGAAGTGAATAAGGTTACCAGGGGCCCGACCCGAAAGACTCCTCACTCAAAGAGCGGTAACATAATTGTCTTGTCTCGTCTCTTGAGTTAAAGATGTCCATAGGCGACTATATATACTTACCATCCGGTGACCAGTCTGCTCATTCGATCTTTATGCCAATAAAAATTTATAGTAGTAAATATTTTCTATATTTATTATAGAGTGAGCCAGATGAGCCAAAACCCCATGATGAGGATGCATGGTACACTGTTGGTATTGTGAAAGGAAACTCATTTACAGTAAGTAATTTTGAATTATTTTTTTTTTGTACTCGTTGAGAATAGTTATACCAATTGAGAACTCTTGAAAACCAAGAATACCTACTGAGGTGTTTTACGAATGCCGACTGCAAAGGTTGGTACACCTGGATTATTTATTGTTTTCAAACATAAGAAGCACTGGATATTTTAACTTCGACTAGAAATCAAACTAACCAAACTGTATTTTTCTTACATAATCATCATGTCATTATCTCTATGTGTAAAACAGTTGTCTTTGTGTCTGGCATAGGTTTGCATGTATTATTTGATATATCATGACATTCTAATAAACGATACGGTACTTGAAAATCTCCACCACCACCTCTGAAATTTTGCAGGAGTAATTATATAAAAAGTATTTCTGAGGTATATTTTTTTTGTTTAGGTGCAGAACTACATTTCTGATCCCAATGTAGATCTATCTAATTTATCGTTGGACAACTTGCCGGATCTGTCTAGCTTGGCTACAACGCCCCTTGAACACGGCACAGCATACAAGTTCAGGATCGCTGCGATCAATTCTTGTGGTCGCGGAGAGTTTAGTGAAGTAAGTACACAGTACGATAGGATTAAAGTTCTTTCATTGACATTGAAATACATTGGCGGTTTCTAACGTCATCAGAAAGTAAGCAACTGAAAATGTCTGTACACTCAATGATAATAAACCCTTTACAGTTACTAAAAATAAATAGTTGTACTTGATTGTATTTAAAAAGAAAAATATCGTTGACATTCGATTGAAATCAGTTATTAACAAATGAAAGGTGATACACGAGTGTGTAGCAGGACTGAACACTTTTTTCGTTTGTGACGAATCTATTAATTTACACTGACATAATCATTTGACACTGCACAACATTAAAATTGTGGTTAAATGAGTATTATATTTTTATAGTTAAAACCTTTACATTTTTTTCTGTTTAAAACTTGCTTTCAAATAAAATCGATTATTATCCATAAGTGCATCCGCTATGTGTTTATTTATCGAACTATTAGAAAGAAAATATTGAACAGTTTAATGTGCATTACATCAAAATATGAAAATGTTACACGTGAATACTGAAGAATGTGAATTTTCATTTGGTCCAAACATGGTTTTTGTTATTCCTAAGTTTTGTAAATGCCAAGCTAATAATTTAATCACCAAGCTAATAAATTGTGTTTTAGGAATCTGCATTTAAAACCTGTCTGCCAGGATTCCCTGGTGCTCCTTCAGCGATAAAGATATCAAAGTCTATAGAAGGTGCACATTTATCGTGGGAGCCGCCGCAAGTAGCTGCAGAAGGCATATTCGAGTATTCAGTTTATCTAGCTGTAAGGTCAAATTCACAATCAAAGGTAAGTATTTTTTTCCTTGGGACCATAATTTACAAATAAAAGTTCTTTGAAAATATCGAATGTTATAATGGATAAAACCAAATGTTGCATCAAGTAACATGTTCTGTGTTACAGTTCAGTATACGCTAAAAACAAATATTTTGGTCACAAATCATATTGAGTGTTGCCTTATTGCTTTATTTGCTAATCTTTAATTTCTTCTGCTATATTGGTACATAAAGTATTGATCGAGCAATTGATACACAGCTTTACTGAAAATAGTATTTGTACTTGGCAGGAGGCACCTAAATCCCAGTTAGCGTTTGTCCGCGTGTACTGCGGCAAGGCGAACACGTGCGTGGTGCCACAGAACTCGCTGACGGCTGCGCACGTGGACTCTTCCACGAAGCCCGCCATTATATTCCGAATCGCGGCACGGAATGAAAAGGGATACGGACCTGCCACTCAAGTCAGGTGGTTGCAAGGTATGTATTTCAAGTATTTTCATTTGAATTACGTGTTTATGAAGTGTGTTGTAAAAGAAAATGGGTACCTTAATCCAAGGAAAAAGTTGTTAGCTGATAAAAGATAACTTTTACATTACATAACAAGTCCCTGAAGAAAGCTACTCATAGTAAATTTATTCTTAGTTAGTTAGCTAGTAAATTTATCTAGTTTGTAGAACTCCTCTCATTTTGCTTGTCTGTATAAACATAAATATGTCTGAACGACAGACTGACAACAGACATACTATTCAGAAATATTTAGTTATAACTAGCAAAAAAATTTAAGGACATGCCTAATTACTGACAGATCCTAATTATTGCGATGATCCTGCTTATAATACATGAAGTAAAATTAATATGATTATTTAAAATTAATTTGAAGGATAATCTGTTTGCCTAATTTTTATAATTATTATTTGCAACCCTATCTTTTTAGTAATGTATTTATTTAGTTGATGCCTACTTTTTTACAGATATTAAATCAACTGGAGTGAAGAGGCCCGGCGATGGCAGGTTAACTGGTGCCTCACCATCAAAACAACCTAAACAATTGTTGCACTAAGTGTTGAAGTTTTGTGACAGTTAGGACAAATAGACCAAGACATTAGAATGTACAGAACTACAGATTATTAAGTTGTTGTTTTATTCAATGTTAGTATATCTAACTATGTTATGTTAGCATAAGTCTCACCTTGACAGTGAAATCTCACGCCTTTCTATAAATTATTCATTTTGCTTTTGCCACTATGTGTAGCAATAATTATCGTTTGTAAAAAAGGATTTGTATCGTCGTTTGTAAGAGACGACTATTAAATAAAATAGACTGATTGATAATTTGGACGAAATGAGATAGATTACAAAATATAGAAATGTTATGAACATATCTATGCAATATAAATATGGAAATGATTGTTATTTTTTTTGTCAACCCCATGATTTATTAAATACTGAAACCAATAATTCGGACTTGGGAGCAAATTTTGCTGCCTGTATATTAGATTTAATTAAAAAAGATTTTGATGCATAAATAGAAGGTATATTATGAGAGTGTAATTCAATTGCAATTGTATTTTAATGCCGCATAAATTTGCTCGTAGGGTAAAAAATATACAGATATTGCATTTGGCTTTTAATACTTAATTACATATTATTGAGTACACTATACATTTGTTTCATTGCTATAAAATGCTATCTATTCAAAACTCCGGTAGGCATTCCAAAAGAAAATAAAAATACAAATTATAATTTATATCCTTCGTTTTATAGAAAATTTACTATAGTCGATAATTTTGCGTTTTATTATGATATTAAAGCAGTATCACTAAATTTATTATTTGGACAAGTTATATATATATATTGTTTATTGTGATATAGGTCCATACACTTGTAGACGATGTCATTGAACCTTGGTTACTGAAAAGGAAAAATATATTTTTAGTATTCAGTATCAAAATAACCATTGAACTCACTTGACTCTACTATAGTCACTAGAATGGGTTCGTATTTCATTTATAGGTCACAATTGTCTAATAGAAATCCACTAAGGCTTACTTCACATTAATAACATTTTCACAAAATTATGCGTCTTAGTCGGGCTCAGCGGTAGGTTCTTACCAAAGAAGTAGTTCCAAAGAGTTTGTACCATCCTATGACGATATTTGAGAGGTTCAAGTCATCGAGCATGATCTGTGCCACGCCCATAAACACTTTTTTACCCTCTATTCGTCCATAATCTCCCCATACTGTCACCTGCAACAAACAACGATTACTTCATTGAATACCGTTATCGTATCGATATTTTATAATAAGATTTTATAAAAAGGTTTACGACTTTTAACGGTTTAATAGCAAAACGTCCAGCGGGCGCAGAGTCCAATTCTCAATTGCTCCAGTTCGGAAAATGTTCATCCGGTAAATGCCAGAACCGAAGAGCTTGCGTTGGTGTTAGACATGGAAATTATTGCTACTTTTAAATCATAATTGAAATCGATTTCACCGGCGAGTGTGATTTGGTCATAGACGTGCCATCAAAATCAATCAAAATTATTTTTGATTGATTTTGGTGGCATTTTTTATAAAGGTCTTAACATATCAAAACTTATAAAAGTAAAAAATATTTCTAAGTTTATAGCCCTCGGGCACTAATCTTTTTTTTAATTATTACCTACAAGCTACAACTTAGCCGACCTATTCGTATTACTGAGTCTGACTAGTTTTATACGTCACGTCAATTTAACAATACTATGTTTTTTTTATTACCTTCCAATAAATTTTTATTTTAATTACAAGATAATAATGCTAAATTGAAGAAATAATGCTTGTCGGACAAAATGGCCGCCACCGTTCCAGCTTCCGACTCGGGTATGTTATTTTATTACCTCCAAGTTAATACTTGGTTGAATCGTCTCTTTTGTATATTGTAAGTCGTCAGGTACAAGTGTCCGACAAAAATTATGCATCTTGCATCGAGTCTGACGCGGTGAACATGTCGATTTTCGGGTAGTTATTATAACCTACATTATTTTAATTATATTTGATATTCAGCGAATAATATAGTAGTATATGTGTCATACAAAAAATGTGCATAAATAATTAAATTACGAAAAAATACGGATCTTGACCTTACTCTTGAACTTGAACTTGGACCGGAATTATCTCGCTAGCTTGCAATATGCCACATTTTTACGGGCAATTATTTTAACCCTGCCTTTTTAGCAAACAAAAAAAATGCCATAATGCTTTTATACATTTTTTAGTAATGATACCGACGCAGTTAAAAACATTAACTGATTCTTTTCAAGAAATCGAAGAGTTTGTAGAATGTATAAATTAAAAACAAAAAAATACGTGCAAAAGGCGCAAGGGTCTATGGACCCCGGGTCAGAACGAAGTTCCTTTCGAAGATATATTAATTATCGAGTAGACTCAACTCAGCAACATACGCAGTAAGAAAAATTCAAGAGTTGAGTGATGAAGATACAGCTCGACTTGTTTACTTCAGTTATATTCATAGCATAATGTCGTACGGCATTCTATTGTGAGGGAATGCTGTCGACATTCAAACCATTTTTGTGCTACAGGAGAGAGCAATTCGAGCAATTTATAATTTAGGAAATCGTTGTTCATTGAGGCAGAAATTTAAACAAATAAACATAATGATAGTGTCATGTCAATAAATATATGAAAATGTAATGTATGTTCATAAAAACAGAGATAGCTTTTCGGAAAGAATTTATGTACTTACATTCTATAAATTACAGAAATAGGAATAAACTTGTTGTACCTGCCTCTAGGCTCCAAAGGATAGAAAAGTGATTTCGAGGTCAATGTGTCCGATTTTATAATAAAATCCCAAATAATATACAAGACAGTACAAACAAATTTAAATCTGCAACAAAAAGTAAATTATGTCAGAAAGCCTTCTACCCAATTGTAGATTACATTGAAGACAAGAAAGCTTGGGATCAATTTAGCACAGGCTATTTCTTAAGTTCCTAGGTCTTCGCAATTTTTTTCGCAACGGGCTCTCTTGAAACACGTATACCGAGGAACGCTTGTTGCTGGCTGATCATATTGATATATCCATGTTTCGTCGCCAGTAATGATTTCAGAAATACGTCTTGACCACCCATTTTTAAAACGAAGACGAATCTCACGGCATCATTCCACACGGGCTTTATTTTCCGTTTCGGAGAGCAAACGAGGTGTCCAACGAGCACAAGTCGAGTCGTATCACCTCAGTTAGAGAGCACCTCCCAAACTGCCAGACTGCTAGATGCTTAGCCAGCATCGGAATCCTAGGCATCGACATATCGAGCGAAGTCCAGTTTCGGGGTCACTTAGAGGGTAAGGTCAAATTGGCGTCGAAGAAGCTCGGTGTCCTGAACAGATCGAGGCAGTATTTCACTCCGGCGCACCGCCTTCAGCTTTATAAGGCGCAAGTCCGGCCGCATATGGAATACTGTTTTCATCTCTATGCAGGGGCTCCTCAGTACCAGCTTCTCCCTCTGGACCGCATCCAACGAAGAGCAACTCGAATTATCGATAGCTCAATCATTTCCGATCGGCTCGATCCCTTGGCGTTACGTAGAGATGTGGCTTCACTCTGCATTCTCTATCGCATAAATCATGGAGAGTGCTCTGAGGAATTCATCGGACTAATACCAGCAGCAAATTTCCGCCTTCGTTCCACACGGCAAAATTTTTATCCTCATTACCTGGATAGTTGGCGCTCCGCTACTGTGCGCTTTTCGAGACACTTTTTGCCCCGCACAACCAATCTGTAGAACGGGTTATCGTCTGCGGTATTTCCGGACCGATACGACCTTCAAACCTACAAGAAAAGAGCGTACTCCTTCCTAAAAGGCCGGCAACGCGTTTGTGACTCCTGAGTTGCAGACGTTCATGGGCGGCGATAGTCACTTTCCATCAGGTGACCCGTCTGCTCGTCTGCCCCCTCTAACATTAAAAAAAAAAGTGTGAGCACTAACCGAACCCATGCCTAAAATTTTCTCTATATCCCTGTATGTAATTCGTGGGTCATCTCGCACAGAAGTTGATAAGAGTATACTACAGGACATCTTTATAATAATCATATGGACCCATTTTGTTCCTATTGGCTGTTGCCACTCGGGACGGATGTATAGCCTGGCAGGAACGGAGCGGGCATTTTAAACCTCTAGGTTTAAAATGCAGGATTTGACCCTATTATTATTTGACCCTATTTGGCCAGCATTATCTTCTAAAATATTCATTTTAATGATATGCTGTTAGGAGCGATTTTAATCTACATTACATTCACAATGTATCTATACTAACTTTTAAACTTTCGCGTTCCATGATAATTAATATTATTTAACGGGAATTAAAAAATAAATTCACAATGTATCTACTTCATTGGATAAGGACACAATTTGTAAATTTGTAATATTTAAAAACACAAATGTTTTTAAATATTACAAAAAAAAAACCTTAGGTTATTTACAAAGCTATTTTAAACAATATATTACTCGTATTATTCCTTATCCAATGAAGTAGATACGTTGTGAATTTATTTTTTAAGACAAATCTTTGAAATTCTCGGATTTTCTGTACTATAATACGCATGTATTATACATATAAACCTTCCTCTCTCTATTGATGAACCGCATTAAAAACCGTTGCTTAATTGCCGTTGCAGTTGCTTAATTTTTGTGTAAAAGGTAAGCCGTTTTAGAATTTTTATATTTTTTTTTTCTAATAAATGAAAAAGTTAATAAAAAAAGCGGTGTATTCACTCGATATATTTACTTTTTTTTGTCCTTCGATACATTCTCGTTAATAACAAATAATAGGCAAACTATTTATTAACGCATAAAAGACTAATGTTAATAAAATTAGAATTGACGATGGACACATTTATATATTATTTAATGTACAAGCACGATGTAGCTAATTAATACTTATCCATTACTTTCAATATTTTTCGAATTTTTTGTTTTGAATAATAAACATGAAATTTGTCGGGCTAGCTATACGCTGCTTCGCTTCTCTCGGACCCTTTTTCTATTTAATATAAAATGTATTTTCTCACATATGCAGTAAGTGGACAAGAGGTAATCATTTTTTTTTCTTTAAAAGAAAGCAAATACTCCTGCATGCCGAATATATCTTGTGTCGCGGGGGACTTCAACATTCATGAAACGGATACAAATAACACCCAGACTCAGAACAACAATTTGTAGATCACACAAAGTGTCGCCCTGTATGGGGTTTGAACTCACAACACTTGGCGTACTAAAAAGCGGCGTGGCGACCGTTTAAACCACTACGCCATCCGTGCAGTCAATAAAATAACTACCTACCCGAAAATCGACATGTTCACCGCGTCGGACTAGATGCATAATTTTTGTCGCACATTTGTACCTGACGACTTACAATATATGTACAAACGAGACTATTCACCAAGTACCTATTAGCTAGTAGGTAATAAAAAACACCTACCTACGAAAATCCAACGTGTTGCGCAAGTCGGACGCTGGCACGGTGGCGGCCATTTTGTCCGACAAGCATTATTACTTTAATTTACTGTAATCATTTTGTAATTAGAATGAAAATTAATTGGTAGGTAATAAAAAACATACTATCGTTAAGTTGACGTGTGTGCAGGGCGGGGGAGTAAAAATGCTGCCTATTTTAGACTTGGCATACGAAAATAATACGAATAGGTCGGCTAAGTTTTAGCTTGTACGTAATAATGAAAAAAGGGTCCTGGGCCCGAGGACTATAGTTAAACCGCCGTAAGCTTGGCCCTCCTGATGGTTTGGAGGTCGCGGGGCGGGGGTGCATTCAACCAATTAGCTAGTGCGTCGCTGTCCGCCGGCAGTGACTGACGTGAAAGTATGGCTGTACGTGTTATTTTTCTTGAGACTGCTACACACGGTATTATTTTGCAACATGGATAATCTGCCGTCTCTGCGTCACAAAAAGATTTAAAGACTTGAAGTTCGGCTTACAGAGGTTCTACTGTTAAAGTTCTAATAAAGAATATTTATTAATTTACTTAATTTTTAAATTGTATCTGAATATAATTTATATGATGAAGATAAGGTGATTTTATTAAAATTATTTTACAGTATTACATTTTACAATTAATCATAAAAACGTACAATACACTGACATTATAATACATGGAAATAAATTCGATTTTTATTAAATCGTGTGTAGATTAAATCTCAAACAAATAAATCTGAAGATATCGAGTTAGTACATCGTGTCATGTATAGCTGAGCGCATCACCCGCCCCGCGTCCCGCAAACCATCAGGAGGGCCAAGCTTACGGCGGTTTAACTATAATAGTTAAATAGTCAAAAACAAAACTACGTGGCCGTGCAGTCGAATAATTGCTAGGATTTCGGCGTGAACATTTATTCATTAGACATTTTAACCTCATTAGAATGGCATATTGTTTTACCCTCAGAATAGTTTTCAACGCGTGCAATCTCAAAAATGATGTTATCTACCCTATACCGGGCGATAGTTTTGCGTTCGGGTAATATTAGGGCGCCTTGATCCTGGCACACCGTTATTGCGATCACCTGTGTCTGACTGGCAGAATGACCGGCGTGTGTGAAGCAGAGGCATGACCTCGTGACTGCTTGCGGCCATGGTACGGCTACAGAGAGCGTGTAGAACTCCACTCACCCGCTGGCTGGCCAGGGCGGCGGTCGCTGAATGATCTTTGTTCTGCATAAGCGAAGGCCTGGGGGTGACAGGTGGCGCTGCCATCTGCTCCGAAGCGCCTTTAGAGGCAGAAAGGTGGTCTCCGCACACGGAGGGGTCACCTGTAAACCGTAGATGACTCGGGGTCTGTCGGGGTATCAGGAATTTCCTTTCTAGGTTACAACTGTTTCCCCGGCTACTACCAAGGACGGTGTTCGGTTTGAGGGCGACTCTGGATGCTGTGTCCCAATGTCAGTTAGCGCCGATCCATATTCTACCAGTTTTGTTCTGGACGGATTCCAAAGTTTGTTGTGTCGTTATGATTGACCGGGCAATTGTATTGAAAGCAGTTCTGGCTGAACATGAAGAGAGACAAATAGGAACTGATTCTTTGAAGAAAAAACATTCTCATGCCACGACATGCCGCGGTAAAATTGTATCGAAATAAAGTAATATGATTTCTAAAGTCACTGAAATAAGGATAAAGAGATCTTGATCAGAAAAAAATCCATAACTATCGGATAGCTAGCAGCGGCCCCCAATCATTAGTAAAGTAATAAATAATTGCTTTCATTAATTTCGACAAATTAAGACCTTTCTTCTTAAAATCTAGTCCACTTTAACTCAAAAATACAGGTTTGTGTGTTCACGCCAAAGAAGATACCATTTGTCGTTTCACTTCGGTTTGAGAGCACCTCCCTAATTGCGTCAGCCAGTATCAGAATCCTAGGCATCGACGTATCGAGCTAAGTCAAGTTTCGGGGTCATTTAGAGGGTAAAATCAAATTGGCCTCGAAGAAGCTCGGTGTGCTGAACAAATCGAGGCAGTATTTCACTCCGGCCCACCGCCTCCAAGTCTATAAGGTGCAAGTCCAGCCGCATATGGAATACTGTTCTCATCCCTATGCAGGGGCACCCCAGTACCAGATTCTCCCTTTGGACTGTATCCAAAGTAAAGAAAGAAAAATCTCCGATATTACGCACATACGACCTTCAAATCATCAAGAAATCCTTCCTTAAAGGCCAGCAACGCGCTTGTGACTCCTGAGTTACAGGCGTACATGGGCGGCGGTAGTCGCTTTCCATCAGGTGACCCGTCTTACACGTTGACAATTTTTGAGGTTTGTTCCCTTCGATTTTGACAAATTTTTGGCGAAGTTTTTTTTTCTGTTTGTATAACGTGACGAAGCAATCGCTTATTACATATACAATACGCGATTGCTTAGTACTTAGTAGTTGAACAAATTCCGCTAACTATATGCATTTTTTCTTCGAGAAGAATCTCACTACGTGGATATCGTCACAAACGCCTCTCGTAATTAAGGACACCCCCTAATTACGAACTGGACCAATTGCGAACAGGACCAATTGAGAATTGGACAGTCTGACAGTTTGCGAATTAGACATAATATGCACCAATGCTTTTGATTTTTGCTTTTTTCTTAAAAATAACTGCCCACATCTCAGCAGTCTGCTCCCAAACTAGGCTGAGCCTGTGCTAACTAGACTGCTGATAAACATACTTATATATTTCTAAATACACCCATAAATAAATTACACTCAGGCACAACAAATGATCGTGTTCATCACATAATATTTGTCCTGGCTTGGAATTGGTCCCACGACCTCATGCTTAGTGGTCAGGTTCACTAACCAATAGACAAACAGGCTCGTCATACATAAATGTATATCTTTATTTATTATAAATGTATTTTCAATTTAAATTTAGATATATTAGTTTGTATCATTTTAGAATCACATAGGTCATGCGCGAACGAAGTTAATATAGGTATGTTCGTTATTGTTGATACGATCTCTCTCTGTATGGGTTACGTAAGTCGACTTAGACACTTTAGGGGGTTGTAGTTCGGGCACGCCGTCATCGCGGCGGTAAGACCCGTTATGGAGGATTGGCTCGAGAGGCGTCACGGGACCCTCTCATACCGATTGACGCAGGTGATCACTGGAAAGGGATGTTTCGGGGATCACCTGTGTCTGATCCGCAAGGAGCCAACGCCTGAGTGCCACCACTGCGATGGCCAGACCGTGGACACGGCTCTCCACACGCTGGCAGAGTGCCCGGCGTGGGTTGAGCAGAGGCGAGACCTCGTGGCGGCCATCGGAGTGGGAGTTCTCTCGCTCGATAGCCTGATTGCGGCTATCGTGCGGAGCGAGAGTGCGTGGAACTCTGCTGTCTCCTTCTGCGAGCAAGTTATGCTCGCGAAGGAGACGGTGGAGCGGGACCGGGAGAGGTTTAGGACTCTCCCGGCCCGCCAGGCCCGGGAACGGGCCAGGTACCGCAGGCGACTCAGGCGCCGGAGGTCGCAGAACGACCTCCGTCCTCCATAAGCGCAGGCCTGGGGGTGACAGGTGAGGCCATCTGTCACCCTAGCAGAAGTAGGCCGGGGTGGCGGCGAGCGCGTTGCGAAGCGCGCTCGCTTCCAGGGAGCACAGGGAACATGGGGTTCCCACACGGGGGGGGGGGGGGGGGGGGGGTCGTCTACTCGTCTGTAGATGACCCGAGGTATGTCGGGGCACCAGGGACTTACTTTCTAGGGTATACCTGGGCTATTAGTACCCGAGACGGCGTGCGGTTTTAGTCGGTTCGAGTCCGACATGCCACCGACAGGTGGTATCCGAGGGGATTTCCGCACGGAAAAAAAAAAAAAAAAAAAAAAAAAAAAGGGGGTTGTAGTTGCCATCATTGATATAGATTTCACTATGCCTTACCCAATACCAATGGTATGCCATATTTCACTATGCCTTACCCAATACCCGATACCTTATCCCAAAACCAATGGTAATTCATAGTAAAATCTATTAGTAAAAATGGCCACCACAGCTCCTAAAGTATCTAGATCGACTTAACCAGTAACCCTGTATATAATAATATGTTGTAAACCATATTTTACAATTAACAATACAACATCTGAAAGTATGTTAGGTACGCCAAAAACTGTCTTACCTGTAAAACGCAACCTTTAAAGTTTTCTCTAAAGGTTAGCGTTTGCTGGTAGAGGGGATCCAGGGTTCGGCGCGCCGTTGTAGTTTTCGCCTTGGCGATACACCGTTTCCCGCTTACAAGGTATACCTTAACGTAAGGTGCAGGCAGAGTCCGACTGCCTTGTCTGGCTTGTAAGCCACGGGCACGGATTACCTCTACCTACAAAAGTGAAAAACAGTTTCCGTTAACTCTTTCCGCATTCTGTAACTAAATGCATTCACGGGTAACGTAGTGGTTCAAAACATATATTAATATACGTTTCTGATTTGACTAGGAAAATGAGTTGAATTTGCGTTATTTTCAATTAATTGTTAAGTTTACATTACTATATGCTATATATTGCTACTTGTCGAGAAAAAGTAATATTAAAAGCGTTCACATGTAACACTGAGTTAACAACTTCTCTACAACTTGACACATACCTCATTCTTGTGATAATCTAAATGTTATTCTTAACTTCCAAATCCATTTGGAATGTATATTTGCTATGTCCATGTCAAATGGATTTCAGCATAATCTTTAATTTTCTATGTTCTTACTGTTTGTTGTTAATTGCTACTACACTCTAAATTCGATTCTTCACCTATTCAAGTCTTAGAGCGTTTAGATTCAAGTGATTGTAAGTTTGATGAATCTGGTGTACCTTGAGGCGGTAAATAACACTGCGACAAAACCGTGTAATTTGGTATGCATCAATAAGGTAAGTGATTATTTTATTGTAAGTATTGTGGTGTATGACTAATAAATAGAAACTAAAGTGCAATCCTCTGTTCCAGACTCCAAAAGCACCAGGGAGCTACAAAGTCGCACGTGCATGATTTAGTTACATTCCTAATAAAACTTAATAAATAATATCTTTGAAGGTTACGAAGTGTTAACCTCGAGGAATCCTTTCTGGTAGCACATTGACAGCTGTACGTCGCCTAAAGTAGGCGCACCCAGTAGTTGTCTTCCAACCAGTTGCCCTGGTCCTAAGCCATCTATAAAATCCGATAGGCCACCACCATCTGAAGAGCCAGAACCTCTCATACCAGGAGACCATCTAAAAATAGGCGAATATATCACATTTACATCATTTATAAGCAAGAAGCATTTCGAAAAGTATCCATACTTATAGAGTTTAAATATCTCTGTACGGTTAGAAGTATTTTGGATGAGATTCGTTCATACATAAATTACAGTTTTACCGGTAGATATTAAGTGGAAAGCCTGAGGTAATCTATTACTAGGCAAATGAAATATGGTATTTTATTCGTCACGCTAGTTCCTAAACGTTAACAAGCTTTGGGAATTATACGTATAAAAGGTAAATAGTATAATAAAATAAAATTGTACCAATCTCTGAATCTCTCAGAATTTCGAATTTGCACACTACACGCGGATTTTGAGAGCTCGTCTCATACATAGCGAAAAATGTTTCTATGGTTCTCAAAAGGATCTGAATACTTCCACTGCATCTGTCGTCTGATTACCAGGGGATGTAGTGTTCTTTAATACCGTTAGGTCAAGAGCAAAGGGTACATGCAAATTACCATGATTTCATTTTGTGTCCAATGACGGAACACCATTTAATGATGATGTCGAGAAATACTTAGCTGAAGTTGGAAACTGAACCTGTGCCCAGTTAATGTCGCTTGTCTTTTTTCCCCCTTTTGATACTATCATACAAATCCCTTTCGTTCAGTCGGAATCGAACCAACTAAAATACGTCATAACATCAGCTGAGCAAACTTGGATATAAACTGGGACACGACAAAGTAACCGACTAAAAGATATGGCCGCTGCATACAAAGTGGCCCCAACAATTTCTGGCAACTTCTTCAAAGAACAAGGCGATGATAGTCTTGAAAGGCATTGTTGTTGATTTTTGACAAGCTGATTAGAAAAGCTGGTTTTTAGTATGAGGTGAGCTGTCAAAAACGTTGATTTATAGTGTGCTATATCGTATTGAGGTCACTGGCGTTATAGCTACTACCAAATGAAGAAATATAAGTATTAATAACAAAATAAAAATACAACATTACAACACTGATACAATAGTGAAGAAGAGGGCGGTAGTCTTTCGGATGCATCGATTGATAAGTAGTAGACAGAATGTGGATTCCAGGTTCTAGGTTCTATAAAATATTAATCATCTAACTAGTAGATGTAATCGTGAAAAGGTGCAAGAAACGCTAGAGAATGGTCTGCATCTATTAAATAGGTAGATTTCACAGTGGATTAGATAGATGTATTGATGTAATGTACCGGGGGTAATAGGCAGAAATGATATTATTTATAGTATGGATAGTTTGAATAAAAGTCTACAACTCTCAATCTAACCTGTATAAATTTAATTTCAGCTTAAATTTATTTCGCAATAGTCAATAGTATTGCAATAGTCTCCCAGTGTCTCAGCCAGTATCATACATTACTCTTTACAGATAGGGAAGAAAATAATTTGTTATGTATTGTAGGAAAAAAAGAGGTAGTAGGTATTCTTCTCTATGCCTGTTTTATATAAAGTAGGTACTCATAAATTACGAAAATCATTTCAAACCCAACAATTTGAATGTATATGATAAAAATGGAAAGTGATTCAATGAAACATGCATGACAAATGTAGGTGTGTAGGTATGTACATCGATCAGACAAAAATGTTATATTAATTAAACTGTTCAAAATAATAAGTGCAAAACATTGTAGGCTGTCAGGCAACATTTATCGTCAAAACAATCGTGCATCACAACTCCAAGAGGACTTTCTTCTCTGACGACGAGGCCTTGTTGAACCGTAAATTTGTACAACTTCGGGACACGGCGAGCGTCTATAACCGGACATAAATAAAGCTATCTCATGTTACATAAACGAGAGGGTGCAATGCCTATGCGAGAGAAGACTCGTGCGTGCTGAACAGAAAAGAGAATAAGTGAAACACACCAATAAATTCGGAATCATGCTTTGACAAGACGAGCACAGAGAGGGGCAAAGAATGTAGAAGACGCGAGCAACATCGAGGCGCACATACAAAAACGAAACTCTGCAGGCAGCTCGCGAACTGCGGCATAGAACGGAGCAGACGAGCGGGCGACTTACGAGGATCCTTCCGAGCTAGATATGGACACGAGGCTGGCGGTGCACACCTCGTGCGAGCGCTGGAACGTGGTCGTGGCCGGCCCGGAGCGTTTGCGCCGCGCGCCGCTTCCTTCTACGCGGGACGCGCGCGCTGTAGCGGCCGACCAACACACATACATTACCGTTGCAGGTACATACTATATTTACATAGAGAGTCCACATGACACTTTTCATAAGTATTTTTGGCATTCTTTAACACCCTGAGTCATAAAAAACAGTAATTTCATTAACTCTTAAGCTTATTGGCAACATTAAAATTACCTATACCTACTTAGACACTAAAATGAAAAGTCTGCTGATTGGAGAGTAATAAAATAGAACTGCGAGTGCCGTATCCGGCAATGCTAGTGATAGTTTACCCATATAATAGGTAAAATATAACTCAAAACAAACAACTTTTTTAAAATTAGTAACTAACAACTAACTAGAAGTAAGTTGACCATAGTGCGGTATTAGAATAGTAACAAAAAAAATAATATCCATTTATGTATTATATCTAAATGAACCCCGTCTAAATTCGCTGAGTAGTAGTTTTTTCTTAATTTTAGGATAATGTGCTTATTCGCGTTATATAGAACATTACTAGTGTATATAGTATCTCGTGACCCCGTAAATAATTACATTTACCAGGAAAAGCTCTACATTAGCTGATTATACAAAAGCGACATTGCACATTAATAATATGCGTTGTGGAATTTATAACATGCTGTGTTTATAACGACTCATAGTTAGTAATGTACGGAATACATATGTTATGCAGATATCTTCCCTTTCGTTTCTTCATAACCTTTAAAATGACGATTTTAAATGTTCGCCTGTGATCTACCGCCCGTGGGAGTAGCACTATTGTGTCAATGTCGTGGGTTGCAAGCACCATGAGGCGCGAACCTGTCCTCGTCGTTCTCACTGGAGGCGGATGAGGTCCGGGACACTCCACTTACACCTCCGCGTATTTCACCAGGCCCCACCTCTTCGCTGCGTTGCACCGTAAATGAATTTTTGCCACGTTTGCCAAAACCTAATCTCCGTTTTCGTCCTGTATTATTTTGTCAATTTTTATTTTAGTATGAAATATTTTTAAGTTTACAGTTGAGCACGGTACCGTGCTGTAAGGCTCTGAACAAATATTAAATACTTGTAATTATTAGTATATTATAAAATAGCATAAAAGAAATCACCTGTCGCTGATAATTGCGATGTAGAGTTGCTTTTTTTGCCCATGCCAGAACCAAAGTAGTCACGAGGTTCCGCTTTAAGTAGCACGTCGTCAGAAGCCGGTTCTAGCTCGCTCGTGCCTCCAAGAGCAGTATCACTGAGGCTCCCATCTTTATTAAAAACCATGTCATGTTTTTAAATGTTAGTTTAAGCTACACAAAGCGTATATATGTATTTTTGTTTTACCTGCTTTTTCGTCCGGCGGGACATCCGCATTACTTAAACTTCTCGTGAATGGACCTCGACGTGACTCTCGTCTTTCCAAAGGCTGTGGCTGGTTGCTGCGGCCATTTTCACGTCCACCATAGTCATTACTACGTTTTGAACTCCAGTTGGTAGGTTTTCCAGTTTCCCTCGTTTGTGCAGGTTCCATATCAGTTGCATCAAATTTATTATGATTTTGTGGCGATGCACATTTTATTGATTTGGACCGACCGCAGGAAACCGAATTGTCAGAAGAGGAGAGTTCCATCGGTGCATCGTGAATGTTTTGATGAGTGTCACCAAGTGGTAGATATGAGGCGACAGGAGTGAGCACACGACGGGACGAGCGCAGGTTCGGGGCAGAAAAAGCAACAGACAAAGAATTAGCCATAATACAAAACTCACGATCTAAATGATCAGTCGCTGCTAAAGAATATGTGCGGAGTCGAGCTTTTTCAATGATAGATGACAAAGGTTTTCTTATTGAGAGATCTATACTGGACTGAGGGAAAATGGAATTTGGTACTCGATATTCTTGAAAGGTTAGAACTTCGTTTATACTAACAGTGTTACCAATTTTGTTTAAATTACTGTCTTCACCCTGCTTTTTTTGGATTGTTTCATTTGAAGTTTTATTTGCGTGATCTTTTGAACTAATTCTCATTCTTTTAAACATACTTTTTATCGGGTCAGGTGTAAATGGTGGTGAAGATTTTATTAAAGAGTCAGAATTTCGCCTGTAAGGATGTTCATTATTCTCATTCTTGGAAGTAAATACTGTCTTTTTACTTTCATGGACATCCAAAGATTGTGTTTGGATAATATTTTTAGACTCGTAATTAGTTTTCAAATTTAAAGACAAAGTTTTTTTCCTTTCTAGTTTTGTAGACCTAACTTCCTCCGTGATGTTACAATGATCAGGACTTAAATCAGCTTTATCAATGAACTGACTTTTGTGTATCTTTGAAGACTCAATGTCCAAACTATTTCCCTTTTCGATACTTACATGAATTGTAGTTTCAGCGTCACTACTTTCACTCTCATAACCCCGATATTGTGATATTTTTTCTTTATTTTCTCTTGAGTCTACAGTTGCCACTAGACACTAGAGTATCTTTTGTAGTTTCTTTTTCAAAATTGCCACAATTAATTGAGGGAATACAAGGAAGTGATCTAACACGAAAATTATTAATCTTTTTTCCTACATAGGGTAATCTTCTTTGTCTCATTGTCTGATAAACCTTTGTTTGATAGTCGTTTGTGTCAAGACTATGCATGTGTCTGTCTAGGTAATAACAAACGCAATTGTGTTGAGATTGTAGGTTTTTTCCGTCACTTTTTACGTGAATCTGCCTGAGGCGATAAAATATATTTCTGGGCATATTTACATCCTCTGGATTTAAAAAGACAGTCGTAACTAAAGATGTTGGTTGAGGGATACAGGGCAAAGCCATCTGAAATATATAATCTTTTCTGTTTTCTGTAATTTTATACGTATTAGTATGTACAGGATATTCGGGGCAACTTTGACTCCTTTTGTAAGGGTGCCTGTAGGAGCGTTCTCGAGTGCAGGAGCCGACCGAGCGGCTACGAGCGAGGTTGCCGCGAAGACGATAGGTGGGGCTTGCACCTTGATTTGTTTCAAGCATACCTTGATGAGAGTCGGTTCGAGATCGGAGCCGACGTCTAACCGCGCGCTCCACACCCGCCGGTATAGAAATACACGGTAATACACGGTGAAAGGTACGATTAGTACAACGCACTCGATGGTAAGAATCAGGGTTAGGGGTAGCACTATCACAAGAGGAATATGTGTTATGAGGAGGGAGGATCCGTCTCCGGCTGTAAGTTAATGTCAATAATAACTGTGTACTTCTTTGATTTTTGCGACATAGTGCATTCAGTAAAATTAAATATATTTAATAAAATCAAAATAGGGGCATATCAATAAAGTACCTTAGCATTCTGGTCGGCCTTGGTCGCTCAGATTGCGTACTGAAGGCGCTAGAAGTAACTGATCCTACGGATTCAAGATCCGAGTCAGCGGCTGTGGCGTCTGGAGACAACCGACGTCTCGGTGCCCAACCACCACCACTCCGGGCTGCCAGCTCTGAGTCTGATAAGCCCGCGTAGTGTCGTTCCCAACCTATATTACCATTACAGTTACTGGTGTATAAAGATAGCTAGAGTACACTAATCTCTAAACAGCTAATAGCCATTGCATAGAATATGAGAAAGTAAGGCAGTCTAGATGACATTCTAGGCACAGTAAGATGAAAAGTGGTAGTCGATAGTGAGTCTTGTTTCTAAAACATAAAGTTGATATGGAACTTATATACAAATATTGATTTCAATGTAGAATTTAAAGAATACATTTTCTTTCGAATCGTGTAGCTGTGGCTTTCAATTTCTTAAGGAATCCTATTCTTGTTTTGTTTTTTAATCGTGAACACTGATCTGATGTTTTTGGGTGTGTTAGGGCCGGGTAGCGTGTATTGACCTTGTGGCGTGCTGCGGTACATGAGTGTGGCGCCAATGTGATGAGGGGCGATCCACTTACGTTCCTCCAGGTCCGCCGATACTTGAGCTCGGACAGCTCTCTGGGCACTCTGCATAATTATGATATATTATGATTTTGCAAACTTTGATGATGTTAATTTATTACGCGATAAATAATTTAATTTATTAAACATGGTCTACATAACAGGTAAAATTATTTATTAATACTCACCTGGTGGGGTATTTGCGGTAATTGTCTTTTTTTGGGGCTGGTGGTAGGTGTGGCAGTAGCCGATCGTGACTGAAACCGCGGCGCGTACGCATGCGTCGGTAAACGAGTTGCGTCGTTACCTCGCTCCTCGTTCACTGCAATATTGGTTTGTTTTCCATGTAACGCATGATTTTAAAATGAATAATAATATAACGGACACTTCACAACTTGAGAGTATAGACATGATACAGACTTACAAAGTTACCTTTGAAAGATAAATTATTAGGTTATTCAATATAAAATGACATGCAACCATCAATCATGAAATGAGTTAGATTTATCATCAAAGAAGTGCGTTACCTCCACGTATTAATGTATGTTAATATTCTTCGATTAAGACGAAAGGACCTGGATATAACGCACTTAACTTACATAAACACCTAATGGATAGCGTGCTCGTATCAGGTATAAAAGGATGAGGTAGCGGAAGATGCGTGAAATAAAATCAAAGTGGACCAGAGCTAGGAAGTGAAAACAGTAAGTTGCAGTAAAGTAGTGAGATGAGCGGAACGCGGTTAAAGAACGTGCGTGTCTCGGCGACAAGTGTTCCGTGCGGGTTTGGGGCCCGCTGTCATATCGACGTCCACGGACCAATCGGAAATGTTGGAAAGAACGGTTTTTTATTAGATTGGTGAGTAGTCATTTTGGCGCCGGTTGGCACCTGCATAGCGCCAGTCACGATCGTTGGGCGGTGATAGAGATCGTCGCGGGGACTTGCTGCGAGCACGGTTTGGCCTGGCAACACCAGCCGCTGACTGAGACCGCGCCACGCTGTGGCCCGTACTCTGTGTGAAGAACAAAACTATAATAATTATATGTACGTATGTTACTAATATGCCATAAATTATTTATTTCTTTATTATACATATTATTATTACTTACTTTTGTGAGGATTGTTGTCTTATTAAGGTAAAGTTTTGATGATTTTCAAATAAATAGCTACGTGCACTCCACTCGGTAAGGTATTTATTTAAAAATCATGAGTTACCTACTGTGACGTTATAAAAATTATATGATTTAAAATGAAGTATTTAAAGTACACCACATAATGATCAACTCTAAAGCTAAAAACCAAAATGTTTATGGACTAATTTGTATCGGTTAGAGTACTAAAAAAATGACTGGCTTAAAGTATTAACTAACACGTTCTCTGGACATCCCGGAGGTTCGCACTCGACCCGCTGGTGACATATCCCGACGACTAGACCGAACTCCTTCCATATCCGATCTCTATAAGATTAGAAACATTATTATCGTTAGGTATCTATCAGTGATTTCATTAAAATTTTAGAAAGTTAAGGGATGTTTGCATATTATATAAATTTAATCAAAGGACTCATTACTGCAAAAGTTAAATTTTATTACTAATCTGGTAATTACTGTAACCAAAATCACGCCGTTTTTTTCTTTTCTTTTCTATTTCGTACTAGTTTAAATAAATAATAATAGTAAAATTGCGTACGGTTTTTCAGGACCGATACGGCTTTCAAACCTTTAAGAAAAGAGCGTACTCCCATTTTAAAGGTTGGCAAAGCTCTCGTGACTCCTGAGGGGGGTGGTAGTAACTTTCCATCAAGTGACCCGGCCGCTCGTTTGCCCGCTGTACCATAAAAAGAAAATCTTCCCCACTCACATAACGTCATCTAGATATAGACTAAGCAGAGGTTGTACTATGGTTACCAGATGGAACTGATGACAATACATATAGGTAAATCCTTTTTTGTAAATACATACATATGTTATATACCAAGAAACACCCTGCCCAAATGAAACATTTAATGTTCATGCACACAAATGTTGACTTGAGCGGGAGTCTGTTACACAAACCACTACGCCATGCGGCAGTCAAATATTTAAAAAAGTTATTACCTCATGTGGTAGCGGGGGGCTGGAGCTGGAAGCTAGGCTGGAGAGGGAGTGATGACGTCGTAGATCACATTCGCTTGGTGTATCTGAGTCTGAAAGACGCGATGTTGAAGTCGATGGTGGGGATAAGTGTTCACCGTCGGCTTCATCTTCACGGTATCTCTGAGGAATTCATAAACAATGTAATTATTACATTCCCAAGGTCATAAGTCTAAATTAAAGACAGAAGACAGAAGACAGAACCTCGCTTACAATTTCTTTGCCATTGTATTTATTACATCAGTAAATGTATTACTTACGCTAAAACTACCAGATTCCTCATGGGGCTTCAACGTGTACCAGTTTGGTTCGTGGTTCATCACAACGTTGTCTAAATCGAGTAGAACCTCTCCAAGGAAATCGTTAGGACCATACCGATTTAAATCCCAAACGGTGACCTTAAAAGTATAACAATAACATGAGTTGAAACAGTTCACGGATATTTAACAAGTATATTTTGAAATTGACCAAACTTATTCAAGTAACTTATGCGAGTACCTACTAGTCAGACTATTACAACTTATTTTTGCTATGTTTGGATTCGATGATTTTTGGAACATAAAAATTAGGAAATTAGTATAAGAAATCTATTCACAAGTTATTTATTACAGGAATAGGGTTACAAATTATATTTTTGATAATTTGAATAACTTGATATTTGTCTTGACCATTTCACGACAAATATCAAATATTCGATTGAAAAATAAAACATTAAACTTTCGTAGAAGAATAAGTGTCTTGCAGTACGATTGATTTTGTTAAGTTCTAAAAACCACAGATACCGGAAAATTTTGTGGAACGCTGTACAATAGTATATAAACTAAGTCTCCTTGTATTGTGTTGGTGAGTGTAGAATAGAATATCCTTTTTTTTGTATCCTCAAATATATAGTATTATATACGTTGTTTATCACATCAGATCACATCAACAGAATTTCATAGTCTCCTTCTAGACATAGGCCTCTCCTTAGAAAGGAGGCTTTGGCCTACTATAGCACGCTGGCCAGACCTTTTTAATTTTCGTAAGAAATTATACTAGTATACATAAAAAGATGACAGTGTTTGTAAACATTAATAATCATCGTCATCACTATTTTAGTCTTAGGAGAACACTTGCTAATCATAAGTCATTACTCTAAACACACACCTTTTATTAAAATTAACATTCAAATTTATACTAAAGATAACAGGATCTCTCATAAATCTTTGCACTCGTATCCATTGAAAAGTTGTCTGGAAACTATCGCTTTTGGAGATAGTGCCGTCCATAATGCATTTAATGTGTCTGTTTCTATTTGTTTTCCAATTCAATTTGGTACAGTAAAAAGTATTTATTTTATTTCTATACGATTAGGCACTAAAAGACATATTACCTCTAGTGTCCTCTTCTTTATATCTGTGATACGAATTCCACAATACACAAAAGTCTGATTCCATCGCGGTTCCAGTGTGTTGGCCAATGTTTTAGTTCGCCGTTTACTCTTCTCACTCTTGTCTGGTAGAAGGAATATTTTTGCGTAAGGACAGCGGGGGGATCCGTCAGCCCTCGGTGTTAGTCCACTGGCTGACACGACAGTCACCAAGAGTTGGAGAGCCGAGATGTCGAAGTATATTTTGAGCTAATAAAGAAAAAAAATGAATTGTGTATTTTCTAAAATCAGTATTAAAAATGAAAGAGTTTCATGATTGGACTGAATATTGTCCTCTTGATTTTAATAAGTTCAGGTCTTTCGTAGGCTAAATGCTATCGTGTCATATGTTTATATACGGGTATTATTGCAATTGATAGGTACTGTTTGTTTCATGTTAATTTTTAAACTAAAAACTCTAATTTCACCATCATCAATTTCTAATACTCTAAAATCAAAATTTCACGTAGAATCACCATACTTGAAACGATTAAAATAATTTTAACTATTTAATAACTATATGCCGCAGAAGAATATTTTTCCATTGAAAAAATTAAAGGCACTTAAAATCATCGCTCAAATCGTGTTTCGTTATCAACAAAATTCATTTCATAAAAATTGTGGTTGTATTCGAGTTTTTCCCAACCCTATCATTCTCTAAAAGTACAGCACTCTTGACTACCAGCAGTAAAAAAGGGTTTTTCTTCTTTTGTATAGCTCAGTAATTAACTCGATCGATAGTACTTAGCTAGTAAGGTGAACGTTTGTGTACGAAGGCCGTAAACGTACCTGTATCCGTCCTGCTACATTCGCATTGTGATGACTGTGGCGTGGAGGACGTCGCCGCGAGTGCATGTCTGGCGACCCTGGTGACGTCACCAATACGCTCGGTTTCTCGCAACCACCTATCACTTCCGTGTACACTTCTGTGAACAATATAAATCATATATATACAGCATCAATAGTCTTCTACATTCCATTATTCATTATCATTCTATTGAAACATATCAACGGTACGTCTCATTGCTTGCTGCACTGGCGGTCGAAGCAGTGGTTGATAACTAAAATCATATTATTCCAGGGTTTATTTGATTTTACCAGGGACTTCCTTTCTAGGGTATACCTGGTTCCCCGGCTATTAGTACCCGAGACGGCGTGCGGTTTTAGTCGGTTCGAGTCCGACATGCCACCGACAGGTGGTATCCGAGGGGATTTCCGCACGGAAAAAAAAAAAAGTGTTTATTTGATTTAATTGTCACACACAATTGTTGAGGCAACGGTTGTCAAATAGTCATTTCCAAAACATTCACCACTGCTTCGAATGGTGTGCCTAATAACACTACCGTTTAGCATGGCATAGATTAACTATCTAAAATTTACAGCATGTAAGTGAATTAACCTTTGTGAGTTCTCCAGGGTTGAGCTGGAGGCCGAGACGCAGCAAGCGGACGCGACACAACCAGTTCTACGTGAGAGTCATGTTTACTATCCGCCACCACTGTAGCAACCTCCTCTGCACTGCGACCTTGAAGTGGGACCCCATTCCATTGCAATACTTCATCACCTGCAAATGACAAAATAGACTTGTGGTTGGACATTTTTGTTAGACGTTTGTTCAACTTTCGCTTTAGCCAATCAGTGGAGCACCAGAGCTTGACAAACACACACCATCACGTACCCTATTCGTAAAGGGAAAAAGTACGAACGTTTGCATGTGATTATGTTAGTTGTAACCGTTTACTCATAACTGGCATTCTTACTATTATTGATCGAAGTTTAAAACAAACCTAATAAGAAAATGGTAGTGGAAAAGCATGATATGCCATACGTATGTACTGCATATGTAAGTTTGTAGGCACAATGTTTAAGTATTACGGTACCATTGCCATGTTATTAAGACCATAAACTAAGAAGTTTCTCATAGTCATAGTAATTTATAAAAATCATCAACTGACTTCAAACTTGAGATTCCGTCATCTTAATTGAATGAAATATTTTTTTTCTTCTTATTGTTATCAAGTTTACACCCCTATACTATGAAATCCGGATCTGAAGATGGTATGTGAGGGTTAACGAGGGAACCCTCCGAACTTATGAGTTCCATGTTGTTTAATTTCTTATAAAATTTAGCAACTTTAAAATGTTGAACACACAAATATAACACGAATATAACGTAGGTTCAGCTGAATGTATCATCACTTCTATGTCCGTTCGTTTACCTGCCTTTCTGTCCGTCTGTCATGACATAATAAAAATCAAGCAATAAATTAAAGAAACTATCAATCAAAATTGATCTAAGTCAACGAAATTTTTATTATTAACTTTTAAGTATCCTTTACTAATGTTTTTATATTCTAAGTCAGTTTAACTTTTATGTTTAATAAGAATAGGAAGAATTACAGGAAGTTATGACATTATAAAATGTAGGATCGCAAGATTCCATGCTGTGTCATTAACTCACCTAAACATAAAAAATGCGGAGTTTATAAAATTAGTAATGTCGTCAAAAATGTGCGACAGATTAACTCTTAGCAAAAACCGCAAGAAAGAAGCACTACGAATTAGCATACGGAGTACAATACGTATATTATTTTATCACATCTAGACTACTGTTGATACTTACCTATTCGAAGCTGACCTTCTAAATCAGCAATAGATCCTTTTTTAACTTTTTCAACGACTGCCCCACGTGTGCCATCGGATAATAGTTTCCCACCCACTACTTTCAGTCCGAGTATAGCGGCAGAGGAGTGTGAACTACCTTCGACGATAGTTTTGCGTAACACCATATGACCAATCATGCGGCTTCCGTCGGCAGATACCTGCCAGCTCAGCGGAAACTGCCATACAATAAGTATGTATTAGTTTAGCTCTATTGATTTAAAATTAATTTTAATTAATAAACATTATGTTAACTACTAAGTGAAATGATTATTAAAGAGGCTTGACGATATGTTCAGGTGCGAGTACAGCTAAGTCCTAAGCTTGGCTTGTCATCGTGTAGTTACAAGAAAGTGTGCACATTCAACATTCTTAAGGAACCCATGCCAATGCAGTCATGCCACAGCCAAACAATTTTATTGGTACATAATATATAAGAGTCATCATCTACTTGCTCGCTACTTTTGTTTGCCATATATAACCGTTCAAAATAAAATGTGATCTAAGTAGTTATGCGTAGTACCTATGATACATACATGGACTACACAATTACACGCCATATTTGAAATAATACGGATGGGCAAATAGTTAACTCTTGGAACGCCTACCACTATGAAAATTCTGTTTCAGAAAACAACAAATAAAATATAGTTATAAAACATAATCGTTCATATGTTTCCTAAACATAGTAATGCATAAATAAAGCCGCAAATCGGCACTAATAATAAAAGAGGACTAGTTTTAAGCAACTAACCGACACAATGTGAAGCTATCTATGTACCTTTGGGCAATCGCCTCTGTTAGAATCTTCACTCGATGTGAAGGTGCTAGAGGTATCGATGCCCGAGTCTTTGGTGGCGGAGTCCTGACTGGTCTGGCGTTCTGATTCCCACCGCAACGAGGCCCAGTCGTTCGGCGCGCCTGACGCGTCACGTCCTCCGCGCGGGAACGTCGCTGCGCCCTCGTGGCCGTCAAAACGAACGGTCTTTTTTCTCCTCTCGGTGAATCGTCTATTGTCTGAGGAGTCTTCCCATAAATAGGCACTCTTATACACCTCTCGATCGGGGCGCGGGCCCTCGTCTGGGGCGTACGGGCGTAAGTATGAACCCTCGCCGTCGTCGCGAGCCCGCCACCGGCAATCGGTCACAGAATCGAAACTGCGTCCGCCTGATGGTCCAGTTCTTGCCACATCAAATGGAGCGCGTGCCTCTGCCTCATAAGCGGCCGGCGAATGATTAAGCAAATTGTAATAATTGTTGGCAGCCACGTTGGCGCTACGAAGATGCGGGTGCCGGACTGGAGCACATGCCTCTAGTTGTCCTAAGAATGACATCGTATGAATAGCAACGGTTACGTAAATCGTTTTAACGCCTGCGTCCGTTCTTGTTTCACATCCACGCGCCTGTACGCGCCCGAAACCATATTACTTATGGAGTAGGTATTAATTAAGTTTCATAAATTAATAATTCAATTTGACGCCGGTTGTCAAATGAGTATTTACATTTTCATTTATACTACTTACAGATTATTCGCGACCTAACATCTTGCTGTGACTTTACATTCGAAACTCACGGACATGAAATATACACACATACTGCCCCGAGGGAAATCTGGGAATTGAACCTTCAATAGTTGGCACATATACAAAGGACACATCAAATGCGAATCCCAGTTTTGTATTGCGTGTTTTCTCCGGTTCAAATAAAAAACAATCGAAAGCGGTGATCATCACGCACAAGCGGAAAGAATGTGTCAAACTTATCCGAGTAAGACAGTAAAACAGCAACAATAAAATAAAGTACACCACCACAAACAACTCTAACGGACTCATAATAAAAATATGAACGAGTAGACAAGTACACTTCTTTTCGCCCAAGCATGCGTATTTTGCTTGAACCATAAATCTTGTGTAGAAGCCACCTACGTCAATTACATTTTTAGAGTGTATAATATAGAAATATAAAAAAAGTTCATTTTTGGTTCAAACAACAGAAATTTGGAAATGGGGAAGTACATTCACTGATTTCATTTCGTATTGTAGCTACATAATAATTCACTAGAAACTGAATTTCTAAATTTAACATATTAAATAAATCACGTCGTGAACGTACTTCGTAAGACAGGTTTGAAGACAGATGTCTTCGAAGAGAAAGGACTTTGTCAAACAGAAATCACAATTGGTTGACCAGAGAAGGAAGTATGTAACAGTAATACTGATCATCACATCTAAACTTCAGCAATATAATTACAACGCATAATTAGGTAAGATCCCGACAAAATACGCCCTCTCACCGATAAGAATTTATTCATTTTCTCGTTTAACATCGTCTGACGCTGGCTTCTGGAACTCTCGGAACAGCTCTTATCTTTATTTGTACCTGCAAACAGGGTGATGACGCGATGAAGGCAACACGTCGCCAGATCTACTGCCCAGTTATGCCTTGCGAAGTGGCTACCGGGCGCGCACAGGGGCATAATGCTAACAAAACGTACGCGGCGGTACACGATGTAATAATAAAATATACTTTAATATTTCAAACCAGGCACTTGTGTGCCAGGTTTGAAAGTTTAATACCTCAAGTTTTCTGAAAATAAGATTAATTGAGCAGACAGTGTTTGTTGTCTTGAATTGTTGAATAATCGGGCACTAAATGGAATAAATAGACACTACATGATTCAACGTGATGGTAATAGGTAAAGATAAGTTCAGGTGCTCAACACTATAAGTTTCTTAATATTATTTAACGGGAATTAACGCGATCTCTTATTTAGGGTATTACATACCTCTGGTTTGCCTGACGTTTCGACCAGGTTGCACCGGCCGTGGTCACAGGCTGACTGGCTCATCGTATCATCGGCCCGTTAAATAATATTAATTATCATGGAACGCGAAAGTTTAAAAGTTAGTACTATAAGTTTCATTGAAAATATAATACTTAAGAACTTAAGAGTAAGATTTACCTGAGGCTACTTAAATTATTAAATACCTCGCACGGAACACCTTAACTTTATCATTGCGTAATGCCAGAGATGATCATGACCATATACGTTATATGATTTACATTTAATCATAAAATATATGTAAATATACGTAATACTTGTGGTGTAGTGTAGTGTGTAAGGTTGATAAACAAAATTAGATCGGATGGAAAGGATATTGTAGTGTAACAAGGATTAGGTGATGGGTTCTAGGCCAGCGGCAATACTTACTGCGGTCGCGATACTCGTCATTCTCATCAGAAACGCACTCTGGGACCTCATCATCTGAAGAGGAAGACCGGGGAGGTAAAGCAGGATGTGACGCCGGTGTGTGTGGCAAAAGATGCTGGGCAGGCGGAGGCACCGAGTCTACCACACCATAGGTAGCCTTTTGCCGCGAGTGACTTAAATGTGGATGGGCTCTCGTCAATCCGTCCAGCTCCCCGTAACATCTTTGATCTTGCTGACTATACTGCCGTCGCAGAGCACTGCCTGTTCTCTGAAGTGGCAGATTTTCTTTTTCTGCTGCACTGTGCGCCCGTTCTAGTTTCGGTCTTTTATCTAAAGCAACATCAGGCTGTGGCAAGCCCCGCAGGTCGTTCTCCATTTGCCATAACATTGAATCTTGGCCAGTACTTTTGTTGATCCATTGTCCAGTTTTAGACAAAAGCTCCTGTTTTTTACGGCACAATATACATGCCCATATTACCTGTAACGATAAATGTGAAAAACGAAAAGTTCAGCTGCTTGTTTTAAAATTATGGGTTTACTATGGGTCATTTAGAAAAGTATTGTAGACCTTATTAGAGCGAAGTGTAACTTTGCCTCCACATCGAGCGCAGCACCTCACTCGACAATAATGACACGAGTGCCCGACACCGTCAGCGAATTTAGTCTTTAAACAGATGTGACAAGTGGCTGCTAGTTCTACGCCCGCAGCGCGGTGCATTTCATTCCTCGTTCGAATGGTTTGCTCGAGCACTGCAACTTCATCTTGCTTGCGTCTGTGTGATGTACAAATATTAGAATTATATAGTAACTCTTAAAAATATAATGTTCACTTTTTTGGAATCACTACAACTACTTAAACAAAATAAAATGTGTGCGTTCATTAAACGTAGGAAAAAAATGTTTTAAGCAAAACACAACTTAAAATTACACATTTGTCTATTTATTTATTTAATTAATCTAATTGCCACTGCAATATTGTGAAGGAAGGCGTGTGTATCAACATAGGTTCTCTTTTTCTAGTAAATGTTTTTCTAAATGTCATTATACAAAAAATACCTATTTACCTATAATAATAAAAGCTTATTCAAAAATGACAGTCCAAAATTGGTAGGTTATAGAGTACACAGACTCGTCAAACTCAACTCAAAGATTGTTCAGTGTATTTTAACGTTAGTACCTAACTAACTTCTCATGTTTAGTAGATAAAAACAGGAAATCAAGATAAGATTTCTTTTTTCTTAATAGCCATTGTTTTAACAATAAAGTTTATAATACTTTTTTCTGTTTTCATTTCCTTTTTGGTTTTTATTTTAAATTTAACAGACATTTTTATTTATTTTAGGTGCATCGTATTACAAACAAGGGATGAACCTCCGTCCTCTGTGTTACGTATATTTTTAAAGACAGCGTAGAAAACAGCAAAAAATGTTCAATTAATAATTGACGCTTTCACTACACTGCAAATAATTTTTAATACATTTTTACAGGGGTACGAAAATATAGTAATTGTAATATTCAGATAAAAATGATTTTTCTTTACACTACTAGTATAAATGCGGTAGTTTATCTGTCTCTTTGTTCGTTTTTCGGCCTAAACTGCTGAACCGCTGAATTTTAGTTTAAAGATATTCGGAACCATTGAATAAGACATACAATATAAGAAATACAATAATGCTATTAAAACTTTGCTCATTAACAGATTAAGACACAGTGTAGTATATTTATTCATAATTTGGAAAATCGCCACCCCCTAACGATGCAATCTCAAGAAGCAAAGAAAACATTTTTTACATACATATATCATGTAGGTGCATTGAAGTCGGTGATCTATTTTAATGGTAATATTTTCGTGTATATTTGAATTGATAATAGCATAGATTACTTACATAGATAGATATAGATATGTATAGATGATATTATTGTCGATTATGGCATCTTCAATAACTAAATTCACCTACATAGCATAAAACTATAAATTAAACACACAAACACACACACACACACACACACACACACACACACACACACACACTCGCATACAGACACATACACTTCATAGTACCATAACATACAAGATTAATAATAATACACAAAATAGTCACAAGTGCACTGCACTAGAAAAGTATTATCTAATCTATCTATATATATATATATATATATATATATATATATATAAATATATAAGAAATTTCCACGTATATAGTCACTCATCACGATATCTCTGGAACCATTAGAGCTAAAGACTTGAAATTTGGTAACGTTTGCAGGGTCAGCTAGTATTGTATATAACTGTATGGCCGAACACTGTCTTTTAAGTTTCACCTAGTTTAAACGACAGGGTTTTCATTAATTAAACACAGATATTTCGATCTTACCGACGACTAAAATTGTAATGGAACTAAAGTGTATTGATTTGTAAATTTCTATGTTTTATACATTTAAAAAAAATGCCTAAAAAAATCAAGAAGTTATAGAAGACCCAGAAGTTAGAGGAGATTATATTTTTTAATAATAAAACTGTGAAGAGTGGTCTAAGGTCAAGAGTTCCTGTCATTCACTAAGGAAAGATACCTATGTGTGTACAAGTAATTATTTATATTGATACACAGATACACAGAGAACTTACATATTAAAGTACACTCGGGAAAAGTAGGTCAAATAAATAAAAATATCCCAAGAGCCCCCTTAAAGTAGTAAAAGATGCCCCTTGTAATAGATACTGAAGTTCAGATATTATTCGAAATCAAGCTCATTCGAAGAGGTTATATTTTGTTTTTTGCATTAGTAAATTTATTTAAACAAAATAATCTATCTATACGTTGAACCATTGACTTATTAAATAAAATAAATGACTAATAGTTTTTATAAAACAAATATTAGGATGCTCAGTAATGATTAAATTACCCAGCAGAGCAGTATTCAGATAAACAGATGTTGTTAGTAATCATAAAACAAAAGGGGCGTAATTGTATTCTAGTGTTATATTTTGCAACGGTGCAGTGATGCGTCATTAACTCCACACCATTCTTAATGCGACACTACGCGCAGATATCACCACCAGTCTAAGATATCTAATATAATATTATTTCCGTGTAAAAATATTATCACAAGAGAATTCATAGATCCCAATTCTTTATGTATCTAATAATATATTTAGCAGTAATACCTAAGCGCATACATGTATTTATATAATGTGCTGACGTAGGCATATCTCTGGAAAATCTGGGAAGGATCACAAAACACTATGTACCAATTTAAAATTGCCTTCCACTGTCATTTAAATATTGTTTTAATTACGTTGAAATGATAAAATGGCATAGGATAGGGTCACAGCACTTCACAAGTTACGTTGGTGCATTACGTAGAATCGAGATATGGCGACACGGGAGGGGTTGCGCGGGGCGCGGGGTATGTCGTAGGGCACACCTCATGATCTCATGTTCACGTTGTTCCTCCTGCCGTTGGCGCATCATGACACCCTCGATGATCGCGCGCTCTTCGGGCGTGAGGTGCGAGAGGTCCGGCATGTCAGCCATGGCGGGCGGCGGCAGGCCGCGACCGGTGCGCGGGCCCGCCGCGTGCTGCGGTGCTATGCCCGCGGCGCGAGGCTTTGCGCGCCACTCTGGCCGGAGGTTTATTTAATAATGCCGGGCGGGCCAATGGCGCGCACCCGTCTGCTGACGTCAGCACAAGTATTGATCGAGACGGGCGGCCGCGTCAGGGCGACAGGGCTCACCGAGCGCCTCGGAGAGTTGCGCGGTACAACATACATGCGTGCGCATATCAACTATGCAGCGATTTATGTACACAATCCTCTTAGCTCCACAGCCGCTAACATCGAGTTATTAACTTCGAGACCATATCTTAAAATGGCATGGGACTATAACAAATTATAGTTTTTGGAAGAAACTACAATAAGTGAAGAAACACCAAAGTGCAGGGAAATTAATTATTTTTTATTTAGGACCTTTTCATCCTGGGCGTCTTAACGTGTTATGTTGGTTTAATATCGTCAGAAGGACATCTGTACAGTTTATTTATAAGTAACCAGAACAGCAATAGGTCACGGCACTGCATATTTCATCTGTTTTGTCCAGCTCTTTATAAATTTGACATTAGCTTTAGTAGCGTAATCCTGTTTTCTGTTTTTGCCTAAAAAATTACAGTCCCAGCTGGTTCTCTTTCCTTCATCAAAGAGTGAGATTTGGGCTAGCTTGGACAGCGAACACATGGCATATTAAACGACAACTATTTATAGTGACCTAATAAGCGCTTTTCATAAAAAGACATAGGAGACATAAACTCTGGCAGGTGTTTTCTTTCCTCAAAAGTTCCTGTGACATCTATCAGTACTTTCTTATAGATGTGATAGACTTAATTTTTATTTTTAATTTGTTGTTGTTACCTCCACTGTTTGGGAAAGATTACGCAAACAGAACATTTTGAGTAAGTAAAGGAAAATATAACTGTGCATTCACTTTTGCATGTAGGTACATACATTATTATGAGCGAGGAGTGTGTAAATTTCAGAATTTTTAAAACAATAAAAACTGTCACTTACACTTTTATTATTTACCGTGTTAAGCTATGGCTATTTACAATTAAAATCTTATAACAAATTCATTCGCCTTGCTCAAAACTGTTTGGTAGAGGAAGAGAAAATGGTTCTCTATATTACGTCAGAATATATTGTTATTGCCAATGCCATTCATTTAATTTCTTCCATTAGAAAGTTGATTAAATCATCGCACCCGATCAAGTCAATCTTATTCGTTCTTAAACTTACTGTCCTGCGACTTTAATGACGTAATAATAATAACGTAGATACAAGCATTTTTAAAGTCACCGAGTGTTACTTTGTGATCTGTTTTCTTCAAGACATGGGAGGAACAGAGGTAGAAGAGATCATCATTTAAAGCCGCTTTGTTTGTTTACTTCTCACTTAGATAAGCACCGGATACAATGGAGAAAGGCAAAGTAGCGGTTATGAAGGTCGTTGCAAAATTTTTAAATAGTCTTGCCATCACACCATAGAGATAGTGATACTTTTTGGGGAGTTTATCTCATGTTAGCAATACCATCCTTTAGCAACGAAACGAAGTTAGCGATTTTTGATCGTGAAATGGAGGGTATTGCAAATTATCAAAAGAGTTTAAAGTACTCGGACAAACTTAAGCTTCGCTTACCACCTAAATCTGCCTCGTGCCCGGCACCTACTGAAGCGCGCGTTCTAAGACCCTGTGTTATTGCATATTCCACTACGGCACGCTCAGCAGACTATGCGACCTCGTCAGCAACGAAACAAGCTTTCATGAAGGCTATTAGATAGAGCGATGAGGGTTTCCAAATTGTAGGCGTTAAAAAACCGCTAAGGCAGGCGTTGTGTTACATGTAGCTAACGAAAGGCAGCTTAAGAAACTGGAATCTGTAGACGCCATTAAATCAGTAGGGTTACGATTAGAATAACCGAAAGGCCAAAGACCCCGTATAATTGTAAAAGACGTACCCGGTTCTATGGAAGATCGTGCCTCCCTAACAGCCTCATATCGTCAGAATATCAAGGTTGAATTAAAATTAAGTGAGAACGACTTTATTAAGTCAAACAAAATTGTTAGGCATTGTAAAGCCGTCCAGTGACGGCTCCGTTTATTCTTGTGCCTCTAAGAGGTCTTGAGGAATTTTTCTTTTTATTCTACGAGCAACTATTTGGGTGTTCATTAGATTGACTGCCAGCATATTTGGATGGTTAGTGATTTGCTTCTTGTACGCTTTTGTCCTTTCCGAGATTTCTTCCATAACACTTTTGACGCAAAGGTCGCGATGGAGTCTAATGTTTGAGACATACCAAGGTGCGTTCGTTATTATTCTTAGTATTTTTGACTAGAATCTCTGTATTATTTCAATGTTTGATTTTGCTGCTGTTCCCCAGAGTTGTAGGCCATATGGCAATATGGATTTTATTATGCATTTATATAGCAATAGTTTGTTTTGAAGTGAGAGTCGTGATTCTTTATTTAGTAGCCAGTACATAGTGCGCAACTGTTGGTCCATAGCTAATCGCTTTGTGAAAATATGCTTCTTCCAGGTTAGGCGTCTATCCAAGTATATTCCAAGATACTTGGCGTGATCCTCTTACGGTAGAGGTATGCCGGTGAGAGAGACGGGTGGACATGTTTCTTTCCTGTTTGTGAAAGTAACCTGGACAGATTTGGTTTCGTTAGCTTTGATTCGCCAATCTTTGATCCATTTGATACTTGTTCGAGACTGTTTCGAAGCTTTTGTGCTGCTATATCTTGTGTATTGTCCATTGATAAAATTGCTGTGTCATTAGCAAATGTTTCAGTAACTACTCCATGGGTTGTAGGGAGATCAGCTGTAAAAAGCAGATACAATGTGGGACCCATGACGCTGCCTTGCGGAACTCCAGCTTTGTTAGCATACAAAGACGTTTCTCCTTGTTTTACAAAAAAGTGTCTGTCGCTTAGATATGACTTTATTAGGTTGTAAAAGTTTATAGGTAGGTCATTTTTTATTTTGAAAAGAAGTCCGTCATGCCACACCTGATCAAATGCCTGAGATATATCCAGGAACGCTGCGACACTGTATTGTTTTGATTCAAAAGCTTTGTTTATTTGTTCCACTAGTCTGTGTACTTGTTCAATAGTACCATCCTTTCGACGAAAACCAAACTGATGGTCAGGTAGTAATTTGTTTGCGGCAATAATCGGGGATAATCTAGGTAAAACAACTATCTCCATGATTTTTGAGGGTATGGGTAACAGTCCAATAGGTCTGTATCATTGCGCCTCAACTGGATTTTTTCTAGGCTTAGGAACCATTATAACTTGGGCTATTTTCTATTAAAAAGGGGCCATTCCCCTTCGTCGGATAGCGTTATACAAGAAAGTCAAAAATTTAATCCCTTCCTTTGGCAGCTCTCTCAGCTTTATTTATATCTAAAGCCTTAATTGCTGCTTTTATTTCTTTAAGAGTGAGCTTATTAATGGGAGGATCGAGTTGGTGCGTTTGGCCCAGCAATTCTGTGACTTCTTAGATTTTAGAAGATCCTGTATCTGGATTTGGTATGAAGACCTGTTTGAAATGTTCAGCAAATTTAGCAGCTTTTTCATCGCATCACTAGAAGCCCATTCTGAGTTACTTTTACGGAGGTTGATTACTTGCTGGGCGTTTAAGCTTTTTAGTGACTTTCCACAAAGAGTAATTTGTCTCTGCTGTAGCATCAAGGTTTTCTAGAAATGTTTGCATGCCTTGGTTTTCATTTATTTATTTATACATCATGCACTTTTGGTGCATTGGCGGGCTTAATGCCTAAGGCATTTTTATTATCTTTTGGCAGAATTTTTAGTTTTGTTTGAAGATAATTTAGATGTTTTTTATCAGTAGGATAACCTGTTGTTTGCTACTTTTTCGAGCTTTTCGTTTATCAGCTAATAGTTCCGTTACAGATGCTGGGTAATCTTGTTAATGATACGAGTCTGCGGCAGTAGGGGTAGCAGATCAGGCAGATTGTTGGACGCAGTTATTGAAATGTTCTACCGCTTCTGTTATGTTGTCGTCCGTCTTTAAAGGAATTTTTAAATCTAATTTTTCTGTCAGTAGCTGTCTGAAGAGCTCCCAGTTAGTTTTATTGGAGTGTAGCTTACAGGGTTTAGGTACTACTGAAATATTCCATTTTAGTACTATTTCTACCGGGAATGATCGGAGGATAGTTCGGTGCTCGTTTTGCTCGTTATAAAGTTGTTATGAATGCCTTTTGTAATACAGAAGTCAAGCAAATCTGGTACTTAATTCAAGTCTGTAGGCCAGTATGTAGGATCTCCGGAGGAAATAATATTCATTTTTAATTTCTCAATGGCCAATAACAACTGCCTACGTACGTGAACCCCAGTAGTGGTGCTTGGCATTGTAATCACCGCCAGCTATGAATCTGTGGCCCAATGTAGAAAGAAACCTTATTTAATCTTCTAACTTAAGTTTATGTTTAGGTGGACTGTATACAGACCGGGCTAGGTACCGTAGACGGCTCGGGCGCCGGAGGTCGCAGGCCGACCTCCGTCCTCCATAAGACAGGTGAGGCCATCTGTCACTCTAGCAGAAGCAGGCCGGGGTGGGTAAAGGCGCGACGCGCTACGGAGCGCACGCGCCCTTCTGGGCAGGAAGGCAACATCCGGGTTCCCACACAGGAGGGGTCCCCTATAAGCCGTAGATGGCCTGAGGTACGTCGGGGTACTAGGGCTTTCCTTTCTAGGGTATACCTGGTTCCCCGGCTACTGGTACTTGGAGACGGCGTGCGGTTTTTGGTCAATTAAATACGTCAGATACGTTGTGCATTGCAGTATATCATGTGACATCGGTTTTGCGATGTTAACTTCAGTTGCAGACGTTGATGGCCTACCCAATCTTCCATCACATCTCGACCGCTTTTGAACGCTTTGCACCACTCATAAGCACGTGTTTTTGATAAAGTCGATTCACCGTAAGCGTTCTGTAACATTTTCAGTGACTCCGAACACGAAATTCCATTGGCGATGCTAAATTTAAGACAAACTCTTTGTTCGATGTTTTTGTCCATTATGAAATTTGCAATACACACTAGATAAACAGCACTGTATTTAATATAAATAACAGATGCAACTCAAACGCAAATTTGAAGAAGCGCAGGTAGAAGTAAAGACCCACGATGTCCCCGCTAGTGACGAGCTACCCTGAGGCGAGGACAAGAGTCTATCCATGGGGAAATGTACTCCCACAGGATCGCCAC